CGTTTACATTCATAATACATAAACAGCACGTACAGACATAGAGAAAGTATCATTTTCTATATTTTTTAACAAACCACCTCGGGCGAAAATTGCTGTCCTCAGCGGTCGACGGACTGTCCGCTCACCGCGACGGAGTGTTCAAAGAAACCAAGGCTTTAGTTGTGTACTTTTGTGACATATTACTACCGGTCTCTGTCAACGGGAAGATGCCACTTCCGATTCCATCTTATTAATTTATGAACCGTGACCTAGATTGAGGTATTTAAATTAAAATGGTGCAGAATGCAGAGTTTTGACGGCGTGATTAAATTCCTTTGCAATAGTATACGGTGGATATTTCTTTTCTGTCCAATTGACCAATTACCAATCTGTAAACGTTGTGGAACAGTATGTTTCGACGAAAGACGTGCTTCTGTCTTCAATCAAATCAAACCTAACTACTATATAGTTACTATACGAGGCGACAATTTCGAATTAATTTCAATATTCTCGTCATACCGGAGGCGGAGTTCTGACTGCTCACGCAATAAAGGAGTTGCTAAATTTGAAGTAACAGAATTATCTCTAATTATGAAACATAAGAGGCAACATAAAAGACTTGGAGTTTGTAAAGCGTATTCCAATCAGTTCACATCTATAAAATTAATTCAAGGAGTTGAGCTAACTTCAAACTTCTTTAATTATTAGAACTTTACATGATCTTTTTTTTCATCACTACAGAGTTCAAATCATTCAATAATAAATAGCTCCGTTCGAAACAATCGAAGAAATTTTCTAAAAATAATAGTCTAAGATCCGAGTAGAGAAACGACCTTCACCTGTCTGTTTAAGTATTTTATATCAAATTTAATATGTTAAGTAATATATTGCGAATAGGTTGACTAAAAAAATTTCAGTCCAAGATATGATTAATTAAAAATAAAAAAAAAAAAAAATTTAAACATTGCACTTGATTGTTTAATAGACAAATTACATACCAGTTGAAAGTATGAAGCCTATAGAATATGCAAACGTTAGGTTGACTATTTTTATCCAGTTATAACCATTGGATAGGCAGGTATAAATAGGTAAGTCGATACTAATAATTTTCCCTCGTCTGTTTAATAAACAAAACATAACAAAATAAAGATAATTACGAACACTGTGATATAAGGTTGCCTGCCAAAAATCTTACTTGAATCCCGGTTGTCGGTTTTTAAAGAACGAAATATTGCTATGAATGAACGTATACGCGCAATAGAATTGAAAAAATGTGCTACTGCTTATCGTTGTTATTTATTAACATTATATTGTAATAAACAATGGCTAAAAAGTGTTTTTTGTGTAACTTGGACGACGGTGTAATTGATTTTAACGTTGAAACTTTTAAAAACTGTTCATTGAAATTGGCTTTTCGTAAAATAAGAAATTTTAAATACAATGTGTCTCTCGATTTTGTTGGTTATCATACCACCTGTTATAAAAAAGTGACTGCTTTGAATAAAAAATAAAGGGATAAATTTTAATGCAAAAAATATATCTCCTGAGGCGATGGATCAACTACTACAAGCGCAAATATAGAATGCATCAACACAGGCTGTATGTGACGTCAACGAGAGAATCGAATTACCAGATTTATTAAATAGTATTTCAAATGGATACAAGAAATTCTGCATAAACTTTGATGGGTGAAAAAGGAAAAACTGCTCAATTCTACTATCAGTATTGTAAATTAATTAATTTATTTCGACTTTCAAAAAGCATCCGCTCCAGTAACTTTGAACTGTACATGGACTCGACATGTCTTATTTTTTACGTTTAACTAGCCAAATTATGCTAGATGGTCCCTATTATACTTAAGTAATTTAATTAAATTGTATACTGAAAGTTCACCTTTGCTAGCAGAATTTCATCGAGGCGCCTTTGGAATCAAACTAACACAAGCAAATTTTGGTCGATTACCTGTCGACTTGAAGCTAGAGCAGACTATTAATGCTGATACCATCAATCAGTTGACTGATAACCTTGGTGTAAACCTTGGTGTAAACTCAATATCTGCGTGTCAAAGATGAGCGCTCAGTCACAGTATGAGGACGAAAATTTTAACAACTATCAAAGAAAATATCGGAATAACGAAAAAAGGTGACACTTTGCAGTCTTTGCAAAAAAGCAAAATTGACAAAGACAAAAAAAAGCCTGAACAGTATCATTGAAGCAATAAAAGATACGATGAATCCATTTGATGACACAATTGATGAATATATTTCATTTAATATTTAGACGGATAAAGCTGCATTTAAAGAAGTTGCTGATTTCCTGCTTAAGTTCAAGGTTGTCGGCATTCAACAAAAGTTATGTTTTATTTCTAAATGCTCTTCAACTCCCGCAAGATTCGACAAACCTATAAAACGAAACAAAATCTGTAATTTCGATTATCAGTGCACCGCTAAAGTTTTAATGACCAAAGACAATAGCAAGAAGGTATTACCGAAAATGGAACGAGACATATTTGGGCGACGCCTGGATCTTAGTATAAACAATAAATCTAAAACATTGCCTAACTTTACCATTAGCACCAATGCCGCCTGCTCTGCTGGTGATATGTTTAAAATTGTTAAAACAACGTTAGCGAAAACTTTGAAATCAAAAACTGAAATAGTTGAGCCAACAAATAATCGATTATTTTTACTACTTACACCTGATCAGATCATTTATGCCACAAACTTTTGAAAAAGTCGATACTTATATGAAACTAAGAGGCCATCTTTTTGTAACTGTATAATGGAACAACAGGTTTGTAAGTTTTTATAATTAAACCATTGGAAAATTTTTATAAGATCTGTTTCTATTAATAATTTTAATCAATTCCAGTTCTCTGCATTTGACAGAATAACTGTGTCGTCTGAAAAACTTCTATCTCTATTTAAACGACAAATTATTTAAAATAAAATTAAACAAGATAGGAACTAAGACAGTATCTTGAGGCATGCGATATGCTACTTATTTCCTTACTTGAGATATTATTAATTCTATTTGTATTCGTTTTTGTAAATAACTTTGTAATAAATTATATAAGGTGTATTACATTCATACAATAAACTTCTATTATACATATAAAAAAAAACGGCACATGATATAGTTAGTAAAGAATTTATTTACTTATATACTTGAACCGGGCCACTTTTATTGTTGGAACAGCTGTTGGTAGAAGTCTTATTCTTGGTTTTGAGGTTCGATCAAAACAATCTACTTTAAAATGGCGTGAACACAAAAAATAAGACATTTTTAGCTTACAATTTGTTTGTTGCATGAACTCAAGCCATAACTTTGTTTTTTGAGAATCTTTAGGAAATCTGAAAATTGTCTACCTGGGATTAGTTTATATAATTTGTAAATCTAGAATCTTTAAGAAAACTGAAAATTGTTTACTTGCAATCAATTTGTAAATCTAAATTGAACAATAATTTATTTATTTTAACAACCACATAAATATCTTAAAATTGCATAAAAGAATTGTTTAAATAAAAATATGTATACCCTATAAACCACGAGACTATGCCTATGAGCACAGTTGATTGCAGACACACTTACCATGTTTGTTTACAAATTTAAAACATTAAAAATTTAAAAAATCTTTAATGTGGTTGAAAATTGATAGAACAAAATACTAGCTTATGAAATGTAGATTATTCCTTTCTACTTTTAGTTGTGCTGCTATATCCACAAGACGAACAACTGACCATATTGTCTTGTTTGTCTTTTAACGCGGAAAATTTAAAATTAACAGTAATAATAAATAAATACTAAAACACTAAACACTTTTTAAAAATGACTACAAAACATGCGCTTGATAAAAGTTTAAAACACATAAAACATCCAAATTATTAAAAAAATTTAATCACTAAAATTATAAACCAATTTTAGAAACCATTTATCATATGATGAGTCATCCATAGTACAACATGGCTACCACTTTCGTCAGATCGATTAGATTAACGCATGGCATGCTCCTTCCTGACTATATATGTTCTAAGGTCGCAATAGTCAAATTTTGGATTTTTACTTTTTCTAATATTGGTAGTATTTATCAGTGGAGTACAAAATGTTTAAATTTTTTAGAATCATAACATTTCACAAAGCCGTTGTTAGCAGGCTCAAATCGATTTGCTGCTTCAGACACTTCATATAGTAGATATTCATCACTTACTGAAAACATATTTTTATTCTATTCCAATGGTAAAATTATTAAATAAAAAGCCAACAATTAGGCATTCCAACGACCTGTCAAACAATAGCTACCAGTGGAAAGGGCTCGTAAATCTAAGGGGGTTGTGACATAGCCGTCTATCTTGGACGCTATTTTTATTTCAATTCTTAGTCGCCAAGCCTGCCAATTTATTGAAAATGTATAAGCGGTTTTTTTAAAAATATTTTCATTGTGTTTGACATAAAATATTTAAATTTAATCCTTTTGTTTATGATTTTACGTATTGTAGATAGACTAACTACATCTTATGTCGCAACCCATTAGATATACTAAACCTTAGCAACGCGTTTCATTTGTTTGAAATGTCTAATTCAAGATTTAAAAAACACTTGTTTCCTTAATAGAGTTGTTATTGTTTACTAAAGCTTTTTTGTCGCGTTGTTATCGTTACTGATGCGCTAAAAAATATTTGATGTTAAAATATATGCAGCAAATTATTGTAGATAACATACATGTGAAAAAAAAATAATTCAAAATGTCGATTCCGAAATTTGTTTTCCAAAAACGACATTTTTTTAATTAGATCTATAGGCATTCTTATGTAAATAAACAAATAAATGAATAAATAATTTCGAGTGGTGTCATGCTAGGTATGGCTGGTTCGATTTCAGCTCGGACACGTGGCTTTGTTTTATTTTTCATTAAGTTGTTTCCATATTGGGGGTTTGGAAATTAAGATAGTATGAGGAATTACGGAATTTATTCCTTAATTTGTTAAAGAAAACTGTCATATTTTTATTAAATTAAGTCTTACCTATAGTAGCCATAGCCGCTCCCAATACCATGAGGAGTAACCCTAGGCTCAAGGCCTTGCAGGCATTCCACAGGCACCTGCCGTTCACTTTGCCTCTGACGACCTGCACATTCCACTGGGCACCAGAAGCAGGATGAGCCCGCCTGACCACCTCTGAGGCGCCCCCCCGGGTCCATCCGGTGCCAAGGAATGGTCCTTGGTTCATTCTGGTCTCTGAAAATAAAATAATTCTGCTTTTTAGAAAAGAAAAAATCACTTTCTCACAATTCATATACACTCCTCGCCACAAAGTTCCGCCACCCTAAAATGGTGTTTTATAGCTTTTTTATGTTTTATCCTATTGTTATAAATTTTCTACCAGTTTGTAGATACATTTATTGCGATTTTTAAAATTATTGTAATAAGTTACATTTTTCGTTTAGACAATATTATACAGGGGTAAATCAAAATGTTGATTTTTGTCGCAACACCTTGTAGCAAAATTGAGGTGGATAGTTTTGCTTACATATTGTTTGTATTCCAAACATTTTGTTTGTCGATGTATCTTATTATCTCATTTCTGCTATGAGCTGCATTTTTTTATATAAAACGCTGTTAATTTTAATTAATGATGAAGCGATCATCAGTAACAGATGTCATTCTCGTTCTACCGGAGCCTTGCTGCCTAGTAAAGTTTTCCGTTTGTAAATACCTTTTCCAAGCATCTCAAACTGTAGACCGCGGAATTCCCCATCGATAAATTAATATTAAAAGATAAACACGGCACTGGTAACAAGTGGTTAGTTCTGGCCATACTATTTAGAGGCACCATCGCAAATAAGATGGCAGCGATGTTGCCAGTTTCCATAAACTTTCATGAGATTAAAGTTATTTCAAACGCAATAAGCTGCACCTTATTTTTTTTGTCGTGCTCGATACCATCCATACAATGGTCATACTATTTCTGGGATATTTTAAAGAGAGGTTTGACAACTGTGTTGATAACCTCGTTAAAAATGAGAAACGGAATAGCGGAAGGCGAAATGGTCGAAAAACGCACAAAAACCATCATAAAATAAAAGTTATTATGATGTAGGATGTAATGAATATAATTATCCTTCCTACATGGGTTATAGTTCCATAAATAGGTAAGTTATATTTAGGTTAAGAAGATTGATAAGTGCTGATTTGATGTAATTAGTAAGTATTAATAATTTAATTTAATAAGGTGCTAGATTCATTAATGCCTATTATTTTCTTATAGCCTTAACGAAGTATAATTTCATTTTGGATCGATTTTTAATTCTTTTTTAATATACCTATACCTATTTGTATCAAAACACGTCTGTCCCGGGTAAAATTAAGTATTCTTGTTCAGCCCCTTAATTGTTTAAATAAGTATTTTAATATTCAGCAGGCTGGTTATTCAAATAAAACCTTTTTTATTAGTGATAAACAATTTGAACAACCCTCTGTTAAAGATGACAAGTAATTTTCAAACTCAAATTTGTTAGATCAACTAGAACAGATTAGTTAAAATATAATTCAAATCAACTATTGCACTATGAGAAATAAACTGAAAGTTTTTTCTATGAACTAATTTTAAACAAACTAAAAATTACTTTTACTTTTATAAGAATGGGCAACATTTTGGTAAGAGAAATTGTTCAATAAGATGTAAGTATGTACACTCTTTTTTTGTTTTTATAGGAAAACCCTGACACCTGCAAAATTTGGTCAAGTTTTCCAAGAATGAGAGGAGAATACTATTAATTTCACTTACAGTTATTGTTATTTGTACATGTTATGTATGTAATAAATGTTTAAATGCACCTTACTTCTATTAAATTATTAAACTACACCTACCTGTTGTTTCAAATATTTTAATATATTTTATATTATATTTTTTGGAGTTTTTTAAAGTAATAATTGCCAAAAAATGTAAAATAATAAAGGACATTTGAATAAGGTTTGACACTCTTCTTTTTAATTTTCTTCTTTTGTGCTGACTCTAACTGTCAAGTTAATCAGCCAATTGGTTAGCGTGCGATGGTGGCTCCAAATAGTATGGCCGGAACTAACCACTTGTTACCAGTGTCGTGCATTTTATCATTTAATATTAACTTATCTATGGGATTCCCAGAGTACTGGCGACATAACTTTTAGTACGGCAGTCTTCTATTAGAGCAACAATTCGACCCAAATATGCTGTAGTTAATACCATTATAACAACACAACAAATTATAATATGGAACTGTCACTTCGATAATTTTTTACCATTAGCTTGACTTTTCACAAATTCCGTGGTTTCGGAGAATAAGGGGATAAGTAATTTTTGGGTAAAACGAGTTTACTTATTTCCTTTTATAACTTTTCAAATAAAAATTTGGTAAAGTACATCAAAATTCAACCAAGCATAATAATTTGAAATCTATATGAATTCGTGCCTATTTAAAATCAGCACTTCAACTTTAATCAATCAATCAATCAAAATTAATAGCATTATATTAACTAAATTGCAGTTCACAGAAGAAATGAGATAATGAGATGAATCAAAAAACTAAATATTTGAAATAGATGTGAGATTACAGCAAACAGTATACAAGGTGTTTTGAAGTTGCAACAAAAAACATTTTGATTTACCCCTAAAAATAGTTTTAAGAAATCACAATAAATGTATCTATAAACTTTATTCATAAATATGGGATACAACATAAAAAAGTTATAAAATATCCAACTTGGTAAACATTTTAGGGTGGCGGAATTTCGTGCCGGGTAGTGTATAATAAGTCGTTGCTTCGTCTTATTGTATATTTTCTTATTATTGGATGGCCACGATAAAGACACGTTCGTTAAAAGTTGGAATCAAGGTTCATTGGCCAGATGCTAGTGAGGCTTAGTTAGGTTAGATTAGATTTGGTCATGTAATTTCATGATTATGCGTTAATTACGGCATGTCGGTACTTATCTAATTATTGTAAAAAATACTTGCTTTTTTTCAATTTGAGCTGTGTCCAGGCCGTTGGAGTCTATACCGGTCTGCGTAGCCAGGTATAGGTTAAAATTTTTTGGTGGCAGCGAAGCCGCCACCCTACAAGAAGTCATCGTTGCTTCGTCTTCTTATTGTATATCAATAATGACGTCGAAGAGTACTCTGCCGATAAGGGTGAGGAAGAAGATCTTGATATGGGTATTTTTTAAATCGTTAGTTTTATATAAATTTTCTAATGACCTGGTCGTAAATTAAGAAAATAAACTCTTTATAAAAAAATTTGGAATGGTTTATTGCTTTATGGATGGTCTAGTATTATTATTTAACAGTTTCTATAACAAGAAATTAATAAAATGATGTAGTTTAAATTTTTTCAACATCGAAATTAGAGGACACATTTTAAAGTTTTAAGGTAAGAAAAAAATATTTTAAAGCGTTTGCAGGGCAAAAAAAGTATTCTGAAATGTGTTTTAGAGGGTCTAAAACAGTCTTTAAAAAAATAGCTTGTTCGACTGTTGGCGGATTTTTCCCGGTTTTGGTACTATTAACAATATTACCACTTTTAGGAAATTAATTTAAAATTAAAAATATAAAAGTATACATTGCATTACTTAAAAAAACTTTTTTCTGTACCAGCATGGATATTAGCTGTTTTACGCACACACTACAAAACGAAAAATAACGAACACCTACATGAAAATTCAAACGACAGGAAAAACGTCTATCTTTAATCAATAAATATATTATTTTTCTACACCCGTATTGTAATATTGCACTTAAATGCCCATCATCCGTTTCATAATGATACCTATTATGATACAGATTTTAAATCAATAGAAACCCATAATTATTCATTCAAGCATGCTGTGCATTTGACGTTTGTCCTAGGTTCCTATGTAACCGTATTAGTTGTCAAAATCAGTACGTATTAAATTTTCGTAGATAGCTAAACTTCGATAATTATAATATCAAAATATCTGATATCAGCGATATAGACGACTTACCATCGACTCCTCCACACATATCGGAGAAAGCAGAAAATTCAGTACAAAATATTTTTGAAAGAGTAAAACCAAATTTGGTAGATTTTCACACTTTTATTTTAAAAATAAAAATTTTTAAACAAACACTAACATGACATATGTTTCGAAGTACAACTTCTTTTTCAAATGTGACTATTTACAATTCGGTATCCAATATATATACAAAATAATTTAACAAAACAAAGTACTTAAGAAAACATCAATAACATTACAAAATAAACTAACTATTTAAAGTAAATAAGGGTACTTAGGTAATTATAATATCCATCAAATAACAATAAGATAGCCCATTACCGGGATTATCTCACAGAAAACTGGGAAAGAGGTTTAATAAGGGTGAATTATTAATATCTAATTGATCATTTAGTAAGTTATCTGAATTTTTAAATCTATTTATTTCAAGTGTTTCTAAATGGTTTAATTTAAGGCTCTTATTTTCTACATGTAAAATTTCAAAGTTGTCTGTAAAGACAACAATTTTACATGTAGAAAATAAGAGCCTTAAATTAAACCATTTAGAAACACTTGAAATAAATAGATTTAAAAATTCAGATAACTTACTAAATGATCAATTAGATATTAATAATTCACCCTTATTAAACCTCTTTCCCAGTTTTCTGTGAGATAATCCCGGTAATGGGCTATCTTATTGTTATTTGATGGATATTATAATTACCTAAGTACCCTTATTTACTTTAAATAGTTAGTTTATTTTGTAATGTTATTGATGTTTTCTTAAGTACTTTGTTTTGTTAAATTATTTTGTATATATATTGGATACCGAATTGTAAATAGTCACATTTGAAAAAGAAGTTGTACTTCGAAACATATGTCATGTTAGTGTTTGTTTAAAAATTTTTATTTTTAAAATAAAAGTGTGAAAATCTACCAAATTTGGTTTTACTCTTTCAAAATTAAATGGATTTTCATCAAGTAAAGGCCGAAACAATAAATAATACAAAATATTTTGTCACAAAAATCAACGGTAATACCAATACCCGAGGTAATACCATTAATAAATTACAATTTTGTAGAATTTTTTATAGAAATACGAGTAATGGTTATTACGTGATCGTGACATAATATACTATTTCGTGCAATCGCACGCGAAGTCAGTATTTCGCGTTCTCAGCACAGTCCGCGAAATTTAATTTCGCGGCCGTTACCCATAGCAACGGCTGCGAAACCAAACGTCACTTCCA